TGTGGAGACTCTATTGGCCCTGCTTTCAATCTCCTGGCTCCCTCAGGCTTTTCCAAGAAACCAAGTCACATGAGCCATGAGACATGGCAATTCTTATCACTCTACAGAGTTAGCAGTATTACTGTGCTCTCTGCATTCTGTGAACCCAGCAAAAGCAAGGTATATAACTGTGTGTTCATCCTGCTATATGTATCTTGAATTGAAAGACTGAAGTGTAGTGATCGTATGAGTATGTCAGTATGTATCTGTTACTTTTCCTCAGTTGGTCAGCATATTTGCTTTATATTCTATTATCTCAGGACTTGCTACTTTTCTTCCCCTCTAATTAAATGATTCCATTTTGAATAATTACTTTTAAGTGCCAACAGCATGCTAGAGGTATTTCAAACATAGAATTTGATATGGTCTTTCCCAAGCAGAATCATAGTCTAAATAAAGTAGGACAGAAACATAGAGGGATGACGGTAGCCCCACGTAGCCTTACCTTGGTGCAATTCTTAACAGGCGAAGCCACTAGCAGTGTCCTAAGACTTAATTTTATTACATCTGAACCTTGGGGATTATCTGGGAAACAAACTGGGAGTCTTTTCTCATATATATAGATATTTTAATATGCAGGTTTGGGGAGATGCAAGGGTTTCAGTATTGGTTCAAATGAGAAGATTGATTTTTTCATAAAAATTTTCAAAATGCTTGTCACTACCGAATTAGGTGGAGGGGAAGCAAAGAGCTGTGTATATGAATAATGTGAACATCTTTTACAGAGTTGCTGCCAATCATGGTAAACCTAGTTCTGGAGGCTGAAAGTGACCCCTATCCTTTAGGAATAAGGACTCTTTTCCTTCAGCTGAGTGTGAGTAGTAGGTAGAACACTGGAAATGGAGTCAACTGAAGTTCTAGTCTCATTCCCCAGTGCATTGTGTCCTAGAATAAGTTTTCTTGCCTGCAAAATACCAATGGTGTTTGTTGTACCTACCTTTCAGGGTTGTAATTAGACTCAGGTGACATAGTATTTAGAGGTGACTTGAAAAATCAACAATAGTGTCAAGCATGACTTTCCTGCATTTGAATATATGAAAACAAATGAAACTATGGTCAAAATAATTTATCCTTTACACCAAAAGCAAGCTAGAGAAAAAAATCTCAGCATTGACTGTAATACTATTTGAAATAAGTTTGTGAACTGTGGATTTTTTGTTGTTGTTATTTTATAACAAGAATTAATACAAATTATCAATTCTTTGTGACTTGGAGATTAAGTTCCCCTATAATCCCAAATGCATTTTAAAATTAAGCCATTGGCTTCCAAGCTATGGTCAACTTCTGTTAATGGAGATTTCCATAACAGAGAAGTTACTTCTGTCTATAGAGTTTCTAAATATACTATTCTCATAATACTTAAAATTACTAGTCTGCTAATAATAGTCTGTAGGCATATGTTGTTTGTAATTGGTTGGACTTAGCAAGGAATTTTTACTTTTTTTTTTGGTACAGATTTCCTTTGCCTGTTACTTTCTCCCTTTATGAAGTGCTTCTTCCAAATGGGCATCTATGAATGTTTGTGGGTGAATACACACTTTCTAGTTAAACATTTTCTTCAGATGCATATTTAGGAATGAGACAATTTTATTTGATCACATTAGCCTGTAATATAGCACTAATCTTGGTTTGTAGTTTGTGAAAATATGGGACTAGAAATAAGGGCACACCAGAACCTCATTATATGTAACCTTAATGCTTTAATGTTATAACTTTAGGCAAAGCTAATAAAAGATGCAAAGGATTGTTAAATAATTTAAATTATCTAAAAAATTGAGCATATTTCTTCAAATAATAATGGCTTTCATGATCTGATTTTTTAAAAATTCATTTCTCATTTCTTGAATTACTTAGAAGTGTAGATCTCAAAGTAAGTTTGAGTTTATTTAAGATTATTAAATATATTTGTTATCATGCAGGGTCTCTGAAGATTCCATTTTTTAGCCTAGCATTTGTAATCTATAGTGTTGTGCAGTACATAATTCCAGTAACATATCTGGTAATGTCATTATAGTGCAGAGTTAATTCTTAACACTCCTCTTTAAAATTGTGCTCTTTGATGTGATTCCTTGATTAATTTGAACCATTAATCAATTCTATCAGCTTAAAAAATAATCATATTGTGTACCTGTTACTATTTGCTTTCTAAGATAAAAGCTTTTCTTACCATCTTAGCTTCACTAATTTAAACTAGGGAACTATTATTTTTATCATGTATTTTCATTACTATCATTACATACTCTTGGATAAAGGAAATAGTGAGAATATAATGAGCTGTGGCAACTGTGACTAAAGTAAAGATTAGTCTGTTTCTAAAACTTTTCCTCCTTTTCCTAAATAATCAAGGAAGAGAATTTTGAGTTCTAAGCAACCATCCTTTGCCTCCCCTAGCGCTGTGTTGTATAGCAATATACTCTATATTGATTACTACTTAATTATAATGCCATATACTAAGGTTGGAAACATAGCTTAGCATTTAGTGCCTTAATTTTTAAACAGCTTTTAAACTTTAAAATTGATATAATTGCACGAATATGCTTCTGTTATTAGATTCATTTCATGCTATAAAATTATTCTCATTTCATATCTTTTCTAAAGATTATTTTGTTCACAATGTATTTTTTTTCCTGACACTTCATTGCTATTTTTGCATAGCTGAAAATCTGTCATTCCCATTTTAGCTTAGTTTGGAAACATGAAAACCATGTCAGAACAACACATTAAAGATTAGTATAGAAGTACAAAACTATTAATAGAAGAGAGCCATGTAGAGATTTTAAATTTAGTCAAATTATTCAAGTGTGCGATTTTAATCCATTAATCTTGTTTGAGGCTCCTTAAGAGAACTATTTCTCACTAAGCGAGGTTTTTCTCTTTAAAAAATGTTGAAAAGAGAATCATCTCATCTAAAACACTATGGGGTTTTGTCTTGTTTTGTTTTTGGAAGAAAAAGGTAAAGTAAGAGCTGCCCTCATACTCTGCTCTAATATATTCTTCATCAAAAGCAGATACCCATTAACACACTAGCTATTAAAAGCAAGTTATAATCATTAAAGATTGTCTTTCTAATGCTGTGTATTAAGACATCCAATACGAGATTTATTTTCAAGCTATTTCAGGGCTACAAGGGAAGTCATCTTTCTTATGAAGGTAATTCTGTATTTTACTTCATTATTTTAATTAAAAAAATATATATATATATACAAAACCAAGAAGGGGAGAATGGGAGCTGGTTGTTTCTTTGAATCCTAATACAGTATGTCTTCTTAATGAACCTGCCGCAGTGCCCAGAAAACAGTTCCCTGCAAATAAACATGCTAGAAGTGATTTAGCCACAATGTCCAGACTGTGTAAACATCTAATTATTACAATAAAATTGTCAATAAATTTACATTACTGCTCCCTTTTCAAACGTTAACCAACTTTTTCCTCACTTGATAAAGGAGCATAAATTGTATTTTTATGTGTTGCTGTTTTTGTTTTCATTATACTTCTTGCTGCACTCTAGACAAAAGACCTCAAGGCTTAATGCCCTGAGTTATTCCTGGGTGAAGAAAACTCCTACAGTTGTTTATTAACGTAATGTACTGTGTTTCCTTTCACGGGGAGGTGGACATGGAGCCTTCAAGATCTGATCTTTAGTCACGGCATCTTTAAAAAAGCCATAAAGCCAGTAGTATTGGAGTCACTGCAGCTTTAAGAGAGACACAAAGAATTAAGTCCCCTTAGAAAGCACTATTAGAATGGGGATTTAAGTTATATTAGAAGCAAAAGATAAAAACGGCAACATGCAACAATTTCCTTTAACAAAGATTACGTCCAGTTTTCAGAATTATGATATCATGTTGAACATAATTGTGGAATATACTCCCCCACACGCGTATTTCTTATACAACCGGTACATTAACATTAGAAAAGCAGAGTGATACTGAATTCTAATGAGGTCTGGCCTATATGCTGTGCTGCGAGAAGAATGAGGATAATTCATTTGTATTCTACAGAGCACTCAAATCCACGCGCATCCCTGTGGCTTCAGCGCGTGGGGCTGATCATCTGTTCCTACTTGGGGTCGGGGGTGGATTCATTGCTTTGAACAGCATCTGAGCCGGGAAGAATAGTTAACCACTTTTCTGCTAGCTGTTGTTTTCTAATGACGATTTAATATGGTCGTTCTACATATGCATTTACTTTAACTGTTCTCTTCGAGCTTCTTAAGAATCGTGACGCCTGCTTTGGTGACAGTGCACCTTTGTAAAAGGCAAACAAAGAAAATGGACTGAAATTCAGTAGAGTAAACGTGTTTTCACCGTCTTCAGTAAACATGTCGGTTTTAAGTAAACAATGAGATGACAGTGAGGTATTTGTTCATTAAAAAACCTGAAAAATGCTCCATTTGATCTGATACTGGCTGTTCAGGAAAAACTGCATTCATTTGTGAGTCTTGCTGACATTCTGAGAAAACAGCCCATTTTGGAAAGTTATATTTAGCAAAATCAAGGAATGAAAGATTTTAGCAAATTGCCACGTAAAATGATCTGCACAAAAAGGCATTGGGGAAGTGAGCTAAGGCCTGTGCCAAACAGATGGCACCCCCTGCTGTGTTTTTGATTGAAAAAGAAAGGTAACATTTGCAGCCACGTCAAAGAGACAGTGATCAGCTAAACAAATTGGTCTCCAAAGTACCCCATCGCTGGAGCCAACCCCGCTGCAGGGTACAATCGAGGCTGTATTTCAAAATAATGCTGTTTGCGTCTTTCCTAAGTGAGGGGATATGTCCCCTTTTCATGCGGCAAAGGGAAGATGAGGTCTTTGTTGAAGTCGACTGCAGTATTATCTGCAGAATAAGCAATAGAACTCAGTCGCACAAGTGCCTGTTGTCTCTGATCACCACCAAACGCCTACAAAGAATATTTGGGAAGACCCCAACAGATTTTTATATGTTGTTCACTTTCCTGTGTAAG